CCGTTCTTCATATGTTTTAGTCTCCAGGCCTTTGATCATCTAAGTTGCTCTTCTCTGATTTTTTTCCAAAGTCTCAACATCTTTTTTGTAGTATGGTGACCAAAATTGGCTGCAGTATTCCAGGTGTCGTCTTACTAGGGTTTTATAAAGTGGTACTAATACTTTGCGTGATCTTGATTCTGTGCCTCTGTTTATACTACCCAGGATTGTATTAGCTTTTTTGGCTGCTGCTGCACACTGCTGGCTCATATTCAAGCGATCATCCACTAGGACTCCAAGGTCCCTCTCACAGTTACTGTTTTTGAGCCAGGTCTCGCATAATCTGTACTTATACCTTTGATTTTTTCCTGCCTAAATGTAAAACTTTGCTTTTCTCCACATTAAAGTTCATTTTGTTGGATAGGGTCCATTGTTCAAGTTTGTCAAGTTCTTTTTGGATCCTGAGCTTGTCTTCTGGGGTATTGGCTATTTCTGCTAGTTTAGTGTCATCTGCAAATTTGATGAGTTCCCCTTCTATTCCCTCATCTAAGTCATTTATGAAGATATTGAAGAGTACTGGGCTTAAGACAGAGCCTTGTGGTACCCCACTGCTTAACTTCTCTCCATGTGGATGTAGTACCATTGAGGATTACTTGTTGAGTACAGTTTGTCAGTAAGCTACAAATCCATCTGGTGGTGATGTTGTCTATTCCGCCTCTTTCTAGCTTGCCAAGAAGTAGGTTGTGGTCAACTTTGTCAAATGCCTTACTGAAATCTAAGAATACTATGTCAATGGCATTTTGCTGGTCTACTAGTTTAGTCACTTTATCAAAGAATGAAATAAGATGTTTGCTTCTAGTTGTTCGCAGATCTATTTTTTGATTATCTTTTCCAGGATCTTCTCAGGTATTGATGTTAGACTGATTGGTCTGTAGTTTCCTGGGTCTGTTTTTCCCCCCTTTCTTGAAGATGGGAACCACATCAGCCCTTTCCCAATCCTCAGGTACTTCCCCAGTGCTCCAGGATTTTTGAAAGATATGGTGCAATGGTTCTGAGATAACATCTGCCAGCTCCTTCAAAACTCTGGGATGTAATCTGTCGGGTCCCTGTGATTTATATTCGTCAAGTCGGATAGGTGTTCTCTTACCATTTTCTTGCTTATTTTAATTTTTGTTTCTAATTTGTCTTTTGCAGTAGTTTTTTTGGTATGTTGGGCTATGATTTCTTTTTGTGTGAAGACTGATGCAAAGAATGAGTTAAGCAGCTCTGCTTTCTCCCTACTGTCTGGTATTTCCTTGCCATCTTCTCTCTTTAGCGGACCTACAGTTTCCTTGACTTTTTTCTTGTTATTAATATGTTGAAAGAAACTTTTTTTATTGTCCTTGATTTCTGTTGCAAGTCTTTCTTCATTCTGAGCCTTTGCTTTCCTGACTTTATCTTTGCATGTTCTGGCTGTCTGCTGATAATCAGCCTTAGTTATTTGTCCCTCTTTCCATTTTTTGTACTTGCTCTTTTTGTCATTCAGTTTGTCAGAGAGATCTTTGTGCAGCCATGCTGGTTTCTTCTTGAATTTCTTGTTTTTCTTTTTCAGTGGTATTGTCCTGGACTGGGCTTTTATGATCGCATTTTTCAGAGTTTCCCATGCTTCTTGAGTTGTTTTCCCCTTTAGGATTTTCATCCATGGAATCTTTCCTAGGTTCTCTCTGAGTTTATTAACATCAGCTCTTTTGAAGTTTAAGACACTGGTTGGATTAGTTTATATTGCCTGTGTTTGCATTATTTTGAATTCCAGTATGACACGGTCACTTTCAACCAAGGTTCCAGCAACTTCAACTCCCTCTATCACGTCTTCTCTATTAGTAAGAATTAGGTCCAGTTTAGCTTTACTTCTACTTCCCTCCTCCACCTTTTGGATGACACAGTTGTTGGCTAGGTTGATTAGGAATCTGTTTGTTCTCCCACTCGCTGCAGAGTTGGTCTCCCAGTTGATATCTGGATAGTTGAAATCTCCCATTATTACTGTGGTATGCTTCCTACACATATTTGTTAACCAGTTGGCAAAGAGTTCATCTATTTCTTCTGATTGGTTGGGTGGCCTGTAATATACACCTATGGCAATGTCACTTTTTCCCCCTTTTATATTGATCCATATACATTCTGGAGGGATTTTATCTTTGATCACATGCATTTCTGTAGATATGTAGTGTTCTCTTACATACAACTCCCCCTCCTCTTTTTGTACATCTATTTCTTTTGAACAATTTGTATTCTTCCATGGATTCGTTTAGTGTTGGCTTTGAGGATCAATTGATCACCTTTACTTAACCAAAGAGAGAAGCATGTTGGTTTGGAAACTCTGGGAGTTCTGGGGCAGGGAAAGATAGAGCTCTGCATTCTCTTAAAACCTGGATTTGTTTGGTGCCTCTCTTTTTTTCTTTTTTATGTCAAGATCAGGAGGTTGCCCACAGATGCCTCCTGTAGCTGAGCCTCGGTTGTTCATGACATGATAGCAGCCAACCTGTTTTCTACCTGCCAGAGATGGGCTTTGCTGCTGTTTCAGGCTGGGTTGACTTGGGCTGATTTCTTTCCTTTGGCCCTTCAGCTGGTTCTGGACTGCAGAACCTTCCAACGTTATTGGCTTCTTCTGTATGAGTTTAGGGCAGCAGTAGGACTCCTCTTGAAGGAAGCTCCCTGACTAATTAGCTGTGAGGTGTTCCTGGCTAAAGGACTCAGGACGGTTGGCTGAGCAACCAGGGCCAGCAACTGGAGGTCTATTGAAAGGAAAGTTTACCCATTGCAAATATGCAGATGTTAAAAATAAAGACAAAATTGGCCTCAGTCAATTGCAAAAAAACAGCTTTAATTGGAACAACTTACATCCTGCCTCAACGATACCTTTAACACCATTAAACCATTAATCCCAGGTCGTTGGGAAGGATTCGATAGGCAGAGAAGAATGCCAAATCCAGTCTAATAATCTGTGCAATCAATCATATATATCATATGATATATAAAACAATGATTTAATTATTGTAATTACTGGTTTTAATTTTAATGTTGGTTTGGACCAAATTGATTTTTAAAACGTATGTATTAATCATATTTATGTTTTGTTCAGTTTTATACTTCGTATTTTTTATTGCCTTGAGTTTTGGAATAAACAGAAAGGCAGGGTTTAAATTCAACAATAAAAGAGTGAATGCTTGGCGTTGTTGCTGCCCTTGGTGCTGCGGATTCTCTCTTGGCTCCTGTTCTGGTCCTAGCTGGAAATGACCCTTCAGTTCTCATCCAGGAGCCACCAGAGAACTGGATAGCTCTGAGCAAAAGGACCTTATTGCAGGAGTGCCAGGGCGGGGTGGGGAGGGGCAGCTTTGGGATAAGAGGGCGCTGCCAATCAGGAGCTGGGCGGAGGGCTGGGGGGGGGTTCCCAGTCTCGGTGTTCTCTAACTGAACATCATTGATTTTACGGGAAACATGTTTACAGACAGTGCACTGATCGACCTGCCTTCTTGAGTAAGAGCTACCTTTCCTTAACGACTGCAGCGGGGGAGGAGTAGCGGGGGATGCCCGGAACGATCCATGGGATCTGGAGTCCAGGGCTGGATCCCCTTGGTGTAATCCTGAGTGCAGGTCGGGGGGGGGGTGTTGCTGGCAGTGAGGCTCTGGCTGGTGACTGGAGGGCTTTGCCTGGCCCTGACAGAGCAGGGAGGGCGGCCAGAGAGCCCCAATTAATTGGAAAGCGTTTGCTGGCTTGACTGGCCTGGCCTGGCCTGGCCTGCAGGGAAGATCGGCCTGGCTGTCAATAAACAAGTCCCCAGTGCAGCATCAAAGCCATAGCCCTTTATCAATCGTGGCCTTCTCTCCCCGCTTGTTCCTGTAACTTACCAAGCATTTATGACATTGATTTTGCAATCAGGCGGTTAACCCCCTCCCCTGCCTCGCCCGCCCTGCCAGCCAACTTGTCCAGCCTGTCAGTCAGGCCTCCATGGCCTCAGCTGTGCCGGGAAGCGGCCTTGGGCCCTTGGCTTCACATCTCGAATTGGTCAGTTGCACATAGATGAAAAGTGTGTGTGTCTACATGGCTATGTGTGTACGCAGATATACACACAGAAGCACTATGAAGAAGTAGCAAAAATGTAAGTTAAAAGCCATTGAAGAAAAAAAAACCTCAAACCATTAAGTAGCTGTCCAAGTGGGAGGGGTCATTGTTGCTATCCCCCCCCCTGCCTTTGCTTCCAGCAGGACATCCATCATCCTGCTCCCTTGGCCAGGGCTTCCCTGCTCTCTTGGTCCGAGTGGGAAATGCAAGGCAAGATGGGGCAGTGGGTAGCCCTCACCTGTCCCCCCCTTTGTTGCCTCTTGCAGGCTTATGGCTGTTGAGCAGAGGGCCGCCTCTGGCCTCCTCGCTTCTCCAGCTGGACCAGGCCCATTCGGTCCTAGCCCTGCCCCAGCTGGTCTCCTGTGAACCTAATGGAGCTTGAAAGTGTAGGACGAGGGGCAGGGCTGGTCCCGGGAGGCCTTTTCTATCTCTCTGCAGAGCTCAAATCAGGGTGTGTACCTCCTCCTTGGATCTCTGCATGACTGAAGGTGCCTGAGAATGGACTTCAAGCACCGTGGGCTAGTCAGGGCTGGGGATTTCAGAAGAACCTTTTAGATGCCTCCCTTGGTGTGGGAGGGAAGAAACGCTCGCTGGGTGACAGAATCACTGAATGGAGGATGGTCTTTCGATCAACAGCTTAGAGCCATTCTTGAGCCAGCTCTGGAGAGGCTCTGAAGGAGGGTGGGGGCCTTCTTGCGGTAAATGGAGAGTGTCCACTTCCTTTTGTACCCTCCCTTTCTGGCTCGGTGAACTCTTGCCAAGAGCTGGCATTAGGGCAAACGGGTTGCTTTTGGGGGCAAAGTGGGCTGGACGCGTGGAGTGGCCAGGCCTGGCTGACAAGCTTCTTTCTTTGTCTTTCCCCCTGCCCACTTTTAGGCCCCAGTCGTGCCAGGTGCGATGAATGCTGATTGCAGGGCTGACGATGGAAGGCTGTGATTTGCCGGGCATCCTGGGCAAGGACCTTGGAGACACTGGACCTCAGCACCAGCAGTGGACTGAGTTTGGCAGTGCTCACCATCTCCCCACCGCACCTGGTGACACGAGGTCCACGGCAGCGGGCCAGCTAGGCAACGAGCGGGCTCCCTTCTGTGAGCATTCGCCAGGAAGTTCGGCGGCCTCTGCTTGCAGCCCTGAGCCCAGCAGCAAGGAAGGCAGCTGTGACGAATGCACGGCCTCATTTGCCAGCTTACAGACCTACATGGAGCCCCCCTGTCCCAGTGCCCATCCTCTGCTCTCCCTGCAAGAGGACTGCAGGAGCGACACTGGCGAGGAGGAGGAGGAGGAGGAGGAGGAGGAGGAGGAGGAATTGGGGGAGGAGAGCGATATTGAGAACCTGGCTGGAGAAATCATCTACCAACCAGATGGCTCAGCATACATTGTGGAAAGCCTCAGTCAGCTGAGTCAAGGGGGTGGGGGGCTCCCGCCCCTCCTGGCGAACTCTGCTCTCCCCAGCACAGGAGCCAAGCCAGGGGAGTCTGCTGTGGCTGTGCCTCAGGTCTATCCGCAGATCATCAACACTTTCCACATCGCTTCCTCCTTTGGGAAGTGGTTTGAGGGCCCAGATGAGGCCTTTCCCAGCACCTCCACCCTGGTGGGGGTCAGCCCTGTCCTGCACAGCTTCCGTGTCTTTGATGTGCGCCACAGAAGCAACAGGGATTACCTGAACAGCGACGGTTCTGCCAAAAGTTCCTGCGTATCCAAAGATGTTCCCAACAATGTGGACATGTCCAAATTTGATAGCTTTGTACTCTACGGGAAGAGGAAGCCCATCCTGATGTGTTTCTTGTGCAAGCTCTCCTTTGGCTTCATCCGCTCGTTTGTGACCCATGCGGTGCACGATCATCGGATAACTCTGAGCGAGGAGGAGCGGAAAATTCTTAGCAATAAGAACATCTCCGCGATCATCCAAGGGATAGGCAAAGACAAGGAGCCCCTTGTAAGCTTTCTGGAACCAAAAAACAAAAACTTTTCATACCCTTTAGTTTCCGCAACTGACCTCAAAAGCCCCGGACACAGTTTCTATGGCAAATTCAGTGGGATTCGTGTGGAAGGGGAGGGGGTCTCCCAGATTGGAGTTGCCAGCACAAGCAAACAGCCCCAGACAGCAGACCTCTTAGCCCCGGGGGGCCTCTTAAACCTGGGGGGGCTGACAAGCTCAACTCTGAAGACCCCAATTACCTCAGTTCCCCTGGCTGCCCCCACCTCCAGGCCCTCTGCCTCCTCTGAAGGGAAAGGCCCAGGGAGGGCCGGCAGTGATGCGCAGGACAGCTGCTTGGCGAAGGCAGAATCAGCTGGGGAGGGGGAGGAGGAGGAGGGGGCTGGCGGTGGTAGCAATGGGCTGTTTCCACACAGGCTGGGGGAGGACCCAGAGGAGAAACTTCCTGCCACCTCTGAGACCAGGTCGGTGGCAAGCAGTGGCAGCAGCCCGAAGGATCTTGCTCTCTCAAACCAAAGCATATCTCCCTTAATGCCTAATGTGCTTCAGGCAGGATCGAGTGGCTCAGCTTCTTCTGGTTCTCCTTCTGCTTCTTCCTTTGTCTTTGATGGTGCAAATAGGAGGAGTTGTTTCAGCTTTAATAGTGAGGGCAGCCAGAGGCTGGACTTGGGGGAGGAAAGTGTCAACAGAGATGATGCCCTGGAACCAAACGAGAGCCTCGAGGGGGAGGACGGGCTCTGCGCTGCCCACCACCAGCACGAGGGTCCCCTCTGCGAGCTGGGGGGTGGGGTGGAGTGCCCCAAGTGTGACACTGTCCTGGGGTCCTCGCGCTCCCTGGGGGGCCACATGACTATGATGCACTCACGCAACTCCTGCAAGACCCTCAAGTGCCCCAAGTGCAACTGGCACTACAAGTACCAACAGACGCTGGAGGCCCACATGAAGGAGAAGCACCCAGAGCCGGGAGGGGCATGCGCCTTCTGCCAGTCGGGCCAGCTGCACCCTCGGCTCTCCCGGGGCGAGAGCTACACCTGTGGCTACAAGCCTTTCCGCTGCGAGGTCTGCAACTACTCGACCACAACCAAAGGCAATCTCAGCATCCACATGCAGTCAGACAAGCATCTCAACAACATGCAGAACCTGCAGAACGGCAGTGGGGAGCAAGTCTTCAGCCACGCAGCGGGGACTGTGGCTGTGGCCACGGCAGCTACCGCCAATATTGGTGGTGGCTGTGGGGGGCCCTCCCCCACCAAACCAAAAAGTAAACCCACCTGGCGATGTGAGGTGTGTGACTACGAGACCAATGTGGCCAGAAACCTCCGCATCCACATGACCAGCGAGAAGCACATGCACAACATGGTGCTGCTCCAGCAGAACATGAGCCAGGTGCAGCCCAGACGCCACCTGGGCCTAGGCAGCCTGCCCGCTGAGGCTGAGCTCTACCAGTGCTACTTGGCTCAGAACCTGAAAATGGACAGCAGCCCAGCCTCCGAGGCCCAGTTCCTGGCGGGCAGCAATTTCCAAGTGGAGCCCACCAACACCATGACCTCCGTGGCCCCATCCCTAGGTGAGATGGCCTGCCTTGTCCAGGTGTTTTTCGGTGTAATTGGAGAGGAAGGGGCTGTCTTTCCGTCCAGCCCGGCAGCACCTGCTCTTAGTAGGGAGTTGCCCATGTGGGCATGGGACAAGGTGACAAGGCCCTTCAGCTCCTGGGTTTCCTTCTGGGCTCGGACAGCAGTTATGCTTGAAGGAGTTTCAGCTGCTGGGGCCAGGGGAGAAGGAGAGACGGGGCTTCCTCTGCATGCAGGCTCTTACCGCAAGCCAAAAGCACAAGACCCTTCTAAGTTTGTGCCATTAGAGGTCTTGATGAGAGGGGTGAGGGTCTTCTGGAAATGCAGAAAGGCAGTGGACCCCCTGTGCCTAATTGCCAGCTTCATCTGGTTTTCTTTCACCTGGCTTAGAGTTGCCAGCATCCACTTGGTCACCGTCTTGGCCAGCCAAGCCTTCCCTGCTGCGGTGGTTGAGTTGGGGGCAGTGGGGTGGTAGTGGTGGCAGACTTGCTTGGCCTAGACTTTTCCAGGCTGCTGGGCCCTCCAGAGTTGGGGAGAAGGGGAAACTTCTGCTGTGGCCCAAGACGGAGGCGGCAGCAGCAGCAGCAGCTCTTTTGCAGGTTTAAGAGGGTGGGATTCTCCCGTGTATAACAGGGCCAGTTCCTTAGTAGGAACTCATTATTGGCAATTTTGTAATTCAGCGGGACAACTGGTCCAGGGAAGGCTGTTTCCAACTTGAGATGCACTTGCTTCAAGTGCTTTCAGTAGCCTTGAGTGAAAGCGTTCCCCTAATTACAGAGCTGATCAGAGTTGTTTAATTTCATGGCTAGAAAAAGGTGCACATTTGTCATTGTGCATATAGCGAGGAATTTTGTTGAAACTTTTTGATGAAGAGATTTCACTGCTTCAGAAGAGATCGAGTGTCCATTGAAGGATCCAGTGGTGTCATGTTCCCATGCAAATTGTGTTGTGCCACAGATGGTGTTTCCTGTGGATGTGCAGTTCTGAAACCTGGTCTGCAAAGATGAAGCTATCCCAAAGGTGCTTTTTTCACGGTAACTGGATTTTCTTGTTTTTCTTTGAAGACGTTTCACTTCTCATCCAAGAAAGTTCTTCATCTCTGACTGGATGGTGGGGAATGGAAGGATTTATACTCCTTGCAGACAGCTGGTCATTTTAGAGAGTTGTTGAGGCCACCTGGAGATTTATCTGTCAGGATCAATAGGTGTGGAGCCTTCTTGGAACTGCTGACACAATTAAACCTTCAGGTGACCTCAATGACTCTCTAAAAGAATGCAAATGACCAACTGTTTGCAAGAAGTATAAATCCTTCCATTCCCCACCATCCAGTCAGAATTGAAGAAGCTTTTTGGATGAGAAGTAAAACATTTTCAAAGAAAAACAAGAAAATCCACTTGCCTTGTGAAAAAGCACCTTTGGGATAATCATGACCTGAAGGACTGAGAATCTCCATAGACAAAGATGAAGCTCTTCACGCCGCGGGGAAAATCTCCCCACTTCCTTTCCATCCTCCTCTCTGGAGAACAGGCTGGCTGGGGGGGGTGTCATCGCATTGGCCCAATTCCAGTTTGGGAAAGCGGGCTTTCATGTGGGGGTAGATGACACCCCATGATCCTTCTTCATCCTGCAGCCTGCCAGAGTTGCACCGGGGATAAAGGAACTTACTTCTCCTGGGTAAAGGAGCCCCTGCTCTGAAGCAGGCAGGGGGCAAAGCATGGATCCTGAGGTCCGCAAGCCTTTCGTTTTCCCTTCCTGAGCTTGAAGTCTCAAGATCTCTTCTTTGGAGAAGAGAGGACAGTCAGGAAGCTGCGTTGCCCTTCCTTAAAGAAGCTCCCTTGTCCCTAGCCTCTTGGACAATTCCAGCCAATGGTCGCAACCTTTGCTAAGGTGGAGGCCAGGGTTCTCTGGAGAGGGAGAACAGAAGGATGTCCTATATTCCAGAAGGCACCTCAGAGGGCTGGCGAGGAGAGGAAGGGACACCCCCCCCGAACTCAGGCATTCGCTTTCCCGGTTGGAAGGGGGGGGACATACATGTGCATGAGACCCCAGGAGGCCCCTGGAACTACACACAAATGGGCGCTTCTCTTGGGAGGTTTTCTTTCAGGGTCATCCGAGGGCTGTCCAGGGAAGGAGGAGGCTGCCCCCTGGAAAGGCGGGGAGGAGCCATCCTCTTCTGGGGACCTTGCCAGGGCACGGGGGTTGTTGGGGCTGCTTTCTGTTTTATCCTTCACTTGGCAGCCTGCTCTTGTCTGCCCAGTGCCAGGGAAGCCCAATGCACCAGCATGGAGGAGATTCTGCCCCTTAGTTGGCACCAATTTTACTCTGGGCTCCTCCCCTCTGTGGCCCATGGTGGCCTGGATCTGATGCCGCTTCCCATCTCTGTGCCCCACTTCAGAGAGGCTGCCTTTTCTCCAGAGCCTGCGATAGTCGGTTTGCATCAAAGCATAATTTTACTCTTTTGCTGTGGAAATCTCTGGTTCAAAGATCGCCATAGGTTTCACCTGGTGAGGCTGAGAAATGGGAAAGGTTTGGGAGAAAATTGCACGCTGTAGCCTCAGAGGACTTCAGGAGTTGCTTTCCTGCTTGAGAAACCTGATGTCTGTCTCCCCTCCATCTGGGAGAGGCTGTAGGCTCAGCCCAGCCTGCTCAGCTCAGGAATCCAGATGAAAGCCTCCGCAACAATGGTCAGTAGTAGAGCTATTATTTCCCACAATTGGGGAATTGCAGTTCTAATTTATGCAGTATCAAGAGGATGGATGCCTTAATGCCCGTCCAAAAAGCAATGAGAATACGTCTGAGGAAGAAAATGGCAAAGTGCTTCATCATGTGTTTAATCAACTATGATCTTTGTTAGATGGGAAAATAGGAATAGAATAAAAACCAAAACAGAAACTGTATAGTAAACAAATGCTATTAATTGAACTTGAAGAGATGTGGGGATGTCAGCATGATCACACAGAACAAAACAACAGGCATCCTGTAGTACGTGGTGTGTTTGTGTGGGCCACGTCCACAGGAGATGCTGAATAGCCCCACGGGGTGGAATGTTAACAGGCAACCCCGGGGCCAAGAGGAACGCAAGAAGAGATGGTGATACTAGTCTGAAAGTGCTACACAGCGCCTTGGTATTTTTGAAATGACTCCAGCTATTCTGGTTTCACATTTATTTGTGGCCTTTGGAAACTCTTACTACACTGTCCCAATTAGAGTGAAGCCAGCATAGTCTCGGCTCCTGAGCCCAAGCCTTAGCCCACCCCCCAGCCTTGTGGACTTCAGAGATCCTGCTTCCCAGCAAAGTTCTGAGCGTGGGGGGCAGGCGTACGCTTCATGAGCTCATGGGTTACATTGTGATGGGAGAGCCGAGTCCATGTGGGGAGTTACCCATTCATGCTCCAGCTGGGCCAGACTCCTGCACTGGAGCTGGGAGCTGAGAGTCCACTGGAAGTGGGTGTGGGAGCCTTTCTGACTGCCTTTCTTCTCTCTCTGCACAGTGGGAGGAGAGATCCCTCTGGACCCACGGCTCGGGGGAGGGCAGCTGGTGTCCGAGGAGCTCATGAACCTGGGAGAGACCTTTGCCCAGACCAGCGACCCCTCCCTGAAGCTATTCCAGTGCTCTGTGTGCAACAAGTTCACCACCGACACCTTGGACCTTCTGGGGCTGCACCTGAATGCCGAGCGGGGCCTGCCCGAGGAGGAATGGAAGGGGGCCGTGGGGGAGGCTTACCAGTGCAAGCTGTGCCATTACAGCACACAGCTCAAGGCCAACTTCCAGCTGCACTGCAAGACCGAGAAGCACCTGCAGAAGTACCAGCTGGTGGCGCACATCAAGGAGGGTGGCATGACCAACGAGTGGCGCCTCAAGTGCGTGGCAATCGGGAATCCAGTGCACTTAAAGTGCAACGCCTGTGACTATTATACCAACAGCCTGGAGAAGCTGCGCCTTCACACCAGCAATTCCAGGCACGAGGCTAGCCTGAAGCTGTACAAGGTGAGGCGGTAGGGGGGGCCACAGGATAGGTGGTCCTGCGGGTGGGCTCCAGCCAGCAGGCACCACTCCTCACCCTTTGCCTACTGAGGCTCTTGGCCCACGTCCTGGTTCCGGCCACTGCTGGGTGGGCTGCTTGGAGTCCTCTCTCCAGTCTCTGCAGACTGTTTGACAGAAGGCAGCAGCATGTGAGTGCCGGTGGGACGGGCAGTGCAGTCCAGATCCATATTGCCATTTGCACGCGTAGCACAGCAAGCCAGAGGGTAGCCCCATTTTGTATCCCACGTTGCCTGGCCTGGGCAACGCTGACAGTCTGACCTCATTTCATCCTCTGTCTCCCAGGCTGCCTCGCTCAAGGCAGGGCTGCAAGACCCTCTTGAGGGGCACTGGGGCCGTCTAGGGCACTGTCGCCCCCAAGGCCGATTAGGGCCATTGAAGGGCAACACTTCCCCTCGTCCACTGGGTCTGGCTGCAGCTTCCCCTCCCCCCCTCTGCCTGCCTGCAGTAAAGAGTCCTTTCCCTGGTGTGGCAGAATTGCTCCAGACGCTTGTATTGATTTTCCCTGGACTCAGAGCTTCACCTTTTTCTCTAATCATCCCGTAATGGCTTTAGTATGAACAATCGGGCGCCACCTGCGATAAATCTAAGCGGCAGCCTTGCTCCCCAGACACGTCGTCTTCCGGTCTTTGGCCTCCTGTGCTCCTGGTTTCCAGCCCTTCCTACTCTCCTCCCTTCCCCTCCAAAGGCTAGCTTTTGAAAGCCAAGCAGGCCTCTCCTCTGAGGATGATGGGCCTGCATGCATCTTCTGTGAGCCGGAGTGAGGGGGTCCCAGAGCCCCTCCCTTGTGTCGCCAGAGGTTTCACCTGCTGGTTTGTCCCTACTTCTTGATGGGAGCAAGGAGGTGGTTCTGGATGCAACTGCCCCTTTTCTTTCTGTGGGGCAGCCCTGCTGGGTGCTGTCTGTCTGTGGCGTGGTGAGCAGCAGACTGGCCTGGGATGGGACCTGGCCCGGTAGGTTCCTTGGCCCCAGTCCTACTCTCCTTGGCGGAGGCCCTTGGGACGTTCCTCTCCTCTGGCTAACCTCATTCCTTCTCCTGGCACTTGCCTAATTAGTTTAGAGTGCAGCTAACTGGGTGTAATCCAGCTCTTGCTTCTCGGAGGGAGAAAATTCTCTCCAGATGCTGGCCGGGTGAGAGAGCGCCAGGCTTGCCAGGCCACCCCTGTCATTCTCCTTTCTTCCTGTTGCTCCCTGGCTTCCAGGTACCACACAGATGAAATGCAATGTGTGCCATCCTGCCTTCAGCGGCTGGCAATGCTCCAGAAATGTTCAGTGTGAGGAGAACAGCCCTGGGAGCCCCTTCCCCCTGGCCCATTGTTTCTGGCACCATTCTCCCTGGCAGAAAAAGTGGGGGGAGGGGCCTTTTTTGGGGGGGGGTTCCTGGCTGGAGTGGACTCTTGACTCCTTTCCCAAGAAACCTGGGTCAGTTTGCCTTGCTTTGGCCTTGGGGCTTTTTGTAAATTAGTTTTATTACTCCCCACTAATAAGACAGAATAAAATACAGACACAAAGTATTGTTGATGTAACTTCAGCATGAATCATCATAATGTTGAATGAAGAAAAGACATCTATATAATTATTTTGCAGATAGACCAAATAAAAAATCCTGCCCATTTCCCACCCAATAGAAGTTGCTCAGGTGCAGCCAGCTCCCCACCTGAAACAATTCTTGGTGCGGTGGAACTGTGGGGCTGGAGAGGGACTGGAGATCAACCCGCTGCTTGAGGTCGGATTTGCCCTGTTAGATTTTAAGCAATGGTGATCAACAGTGGTGATCTTTGCTCGTCTCAGTGAGAGGATTCACTTTTTGCTTCCTGACAAAAGGGAGATTCCCTCCATCAAGAGGGTATGTGTTTTGCAGCTCATGAATCCAACAGGTGTGCATTGTCCATATCACATTATTTGAACAGCCAGCATGGATCTTGGTCTGGGGAAGAGGCTCCCTTTTCAGGCCCTGCCCCCCCCCCCGCCCTCCTCGGACAGGTGCTGAGACGGAATAAAAGTCCGTTGCCTCCTGTTTCCACAAGAACCAAGCAGATAACACTTCCAGCAGATCATGTCATGTTCTTCTCCTACAATTGATACAGAGAAGCACCTTTCCTTGATCTCAGAGGCACCATGTTGCAAGCCAAGAACCTGGTCAGTGCCAATTGATAACTGGTGTTCAGACCGTGGCTGCCACAGTTGAAGTCATTTCAAGGAAGAGAAAGCTCCTGCTGCTTAGAACAAGGGGGGGCTGATGAAAGGGGCAGAGGGTTCAATTGATGGCTAGGGTCTGCCGGCAGGGGTTGAATTTTTGGTCCACATATCTCAGCAGAGTTTAGGTTCTCATTCCGCCCAGCACCCTTTTCCTCAGAAATGCTGGGTGCTAGGTCTTTTGAGAGCTGGTAAGAAAAAGAATAGGTAAGGAAGTGGGAATTTTACTCCTTTCAGGCCAGCTCATCCTCATTGATGTTCAGCCAAATGGGTGTTTTTAAATATCGTATGCTTGAGATGCAACTATCCTTTATTTTATTTACTTTTTTTTATGCAATGTCACACTTCCATTCACCATGTATTCTCAAGGCTGTTTGATTACAGAACTACTATATCCTGCCACAGGCTGTTGCTGTAGGAATTTAAGGCAGGAGTGTTCACGCAATTGCTTGTAATTATAACTGATAATTCTTATTTCAGGCAAAGAATTAAGCTGCATGCAACCAGCTGGTAAACCTGACAAAATAGTTGCTATATGGAGATAAGTCTCCTTGAAGGGGAATTGTCCATCTCTAAAAGAAAAGAATATAAGTAGCTTAGGGTTCAACTCTTTAGAATCCTTGGTGTTCTCTGAGCTTGGTTGTTTGCTTGCAGACATTTTACTACCCAACTAGGTAACAACATCAGTGTGAGTGAGTATGGGGTATGTTTACATACAGTAACTTGCCATTGCAGTTTCAGTGGAGATGTGGTTTTCTCCTTGGTGGTTCCTTGATTGGGGAATTGTTTCCTGTGTGATTGTTTATCTGATGTTCATCCCCATTTATTTGGATATTGGCTGTTGGAAAGGATGTGTTCTGGTCTTTTTGTTTCCTTCTTAGTTTTTTTTTTATTGTCCCTTTTGAATGGTGTATCACTTGCAGGACAAGCTACTGTATATAAATAGGGACCAAACCCCATATTCATTCACACTGATGATGTTATCTAGTTGGGTAATGAAATGCCTACAAGCAAACAGCCAAGCTCATTGGGTCTCCTGTCCCTTGGGATGATCGATGCAGAGCTTGGCCAGGACCCTCCAGCCTGCCTCAGTTTTGGGCCTTCCCGCTATCCCTGGAGAGGGTCTTTACTGCCCTCAGCATTTGCCTACAGGGCAGCCTCGTTAAGGGTTGATCTGCTTAGCTGGCCTGCTGAAGCTGGCTCTTGCCTCCCTGGGGGCTGTAGCCCCTCCTCATTAAGCTGGTTGGGGCTATTGATTGGGCATTTGTGTTTGGAAGAGTCTTACTTACTCCATGCATTATCTTGACAGATTGATCAGACCTGATTGAGAACCTCTTAAAGGAACGAACAGCTATAATGGGAAAGTTGGACTCTGTCATCCGTTAGGGTGATTCTGGAGCGAGAGGAACAAGGCTGACATCTTGGAGCAATTGTATTTACAATTAACATGGCTGAAAACGATTGCCTCTATTGATCCCCCCTTCCTGCAATTACAGCCCCATTGTTTACATTCCAGCACTTCAGTTATAAAAAGGAAATTCAATAATTATTGCATTATTTAAAGTTAAAGTGCCACAGAGTTTGCTGGCTGTGCTTGCTGCTTGATTTAACATTCAGTAAAATCTATGCTGAGCTTTCCATCTTGAGGCTGAGCAATGCAGGCTTTTAATGAGGCTTAGAAGGTGGAGCAAAATCCCACAGCCAGTTATTGGTGGGGAATGGGAGAGGGATTCGAATCCAGGTCTGATGACTGCAAGACTTGGAGCAAAACACGGGGAAAAAGTGGCCGGTGCTGATCTGGGAAGGGTCTGTTATTTGTGGGGAGGGCCTCACCCATGAGTGTCTTGGCATGTTACCACCCTCCTATTTCACTGAGAGCGAGAGAGAAGGGGGGCTTCTGCCTTGCTACTGCACGGGTTGTGTGTAGAAGAAATCTAAACTGTGAAATCGATCACCGCCACCTGTAGCAAATGTGCCAGCCTGCCTGCGTGGCTTCTGTCCTTTTAGGTGGCTGCTTGTTTGAGAATCAGCTCTTCTGCCTCCTCTGAGCTGCAGCTGAAGCCGTCTGCTTGCAGAGGAAAGGGGCAGCTGGGCCCAGCTCTCGCCTGAGTTACCTAGACTGGCATGAGACCCTCGGATGAGGGGAAGAGCAAAGGTGCCAAAGACTGATCTGTGGCAGAAAATCCCTCTTCTGGGCAGTAAGAGTGCGGCCTCTTTCATGATAACCGCTGCCCTTTCCTCTGCCCCGGGGTAGGGATGACCCTGAGGAGAGTTGGTAGCTTCTTTGCCCCTCCTGAGGTGTCGTTGGGTGATTACGGGTAATTGCCATTTCTGAGAAGATCAGGTGCCGTGAAGAGAAGTTGCTGTCGCCCTGCTCCGTGCCACAATCTCTCTTGAACGAGTGGTCTTGAGGGGGACAGGGTGGTTTGCAGAAACATCATTCAGATCAGATGGGACTTTGATCTATCTGATCCAGCTTGAAAAGTGAAGGGATCCAGATTTTACATTCTGTGTGTGAAAACCCCCCTCTTGGGAACTTCCCCTCCAGATTGAAGAAGGTGATCATCCTGTCCTGTTAAGAGTTTGCTTGGAGTTTCCTAATGACCCGCAGGAGGCATAATAGATTCTTGGGGAGGGGGGGGTTCTTTTGTAACAATAAAGCCATTTTAGTGGTTTCCGGATGGAGTTCAGTCCCAAAGAGCACGGATGCTGTCTTCTAGTGGAGAATTGTTGATTTCTTTTTTACTTGCTCATTTCCTCCAAAAGTAGCCTACATAATTTTGTGTATGGTGTGTGTACATAGACCACACAAAACTAATATTTAGTGACAAGCAACCTGTCTCTCATCCATCTTGCGTTAGTAGATGGTTGAGAGGGATGCCAGCAGTTAACTGGAGGACGGGCCAAGGGGCCTGGCCTGGCGACACCAAGCAGAGCTTCTGAGGAGCAGCGCTTTGTGCCATCTGAGGCTGGGTGCTGTGCCAGCCAGGGTAGCAGCAAGGAAACAGGGCTTTCTCCCATCTTCTCCTCCATCGCTGCCCTGTTTCCTTCCACATCTCAAGCGTCAGATCCAGAGACGAAAGGGCTGCTTTCAAAGTTGGTGGATTGGAAACCAACCAGGTTCTTCTTTAGGAACCAGTTGCTTTATTAGATGAACAAAGTAATTCTGGTCCAGAGACTCCTTTTTCTCAATAAGGTAGCTATTAGATAGAACAGCATTATCCTGCTGAGAACTCTCAAATGACTCCTAGTAAGTGTGAGCATGGATGTGACTTCAGGATGAGTTTGGAAGCAAGTATCTCTTGAAAGTAGAAGACTTACATCTTGCTTGTCTCGAAGATAGGACTGTTTTTCCCAAGATGCCCTTGCAGTGCTAAGAGGGGAAAAGGGGCACGGGGAAGAGCCCCCTTGGGCTTTGGCCTTGTTTGAAGTTGAGATCCAGATTCCAGAGGGAGCATAGTGGTTCCTCTGCTTCTCACCTGGGGGTGGGTTTGTTTTATGCTTCTCTCTGCAGCACCTTCAGAACCACGAGAGCGGACTGGAGGGGGACGGCTGTTTCTACCACTGCGTCCTCTGCAACTACTCCACCAAGGCCAAGCTCAATCTTATTCAGCATGTACGTTCCATGAAGCACCAACGAACCGAAAGTTTGCGAAAGTTGAAGTGCTTGCAGAAGACCCTTCCTGAGGAAGAGGAGGACCTGGGCCAAATCTTCACCATCCAGCAGTGCCCAGCTACTGACACTGGTGAGTGACCTTCTTGACCAGCAGATTGTAGTCATGCTCCCATTGCACGTGGTGGAATTCCAGTGATATGCATGTTTCACTTAGGCAAGCAGCTGGTGTATCTCCCTTTAACATTGCATGTGGCTGATACTGATGAGATTTCTGATCTGTCCAGAGCAATGGGATGTTTCCACCGATTCTGGGGCCTGAGCCTGTCTGGTGCAGGGAGCCTGATTCTAGCAACCAGTGATTTCCAAAGGTCTCAGCTGCAGTCCGGCCGAAGGTGCTAAACACAGTCGCTTGGCCAGGGGTCCAGCTTGGTCTGTGTTGATAATGCCTTTTGCAGGCACTGTTGGCAATGATGATAAGGATGGCTCGGGCCCTTCTGCAGAAGCCAGAGTGTGTGAGAGAGGGCCCCTTGCCTCATGGCCTCCTGGGCAGCTTCTAGGAAAGCTGCATGCAGCCCAAAGGCTTCTGATCCTTTCCCCAAGAGAAATCAGATTTCTCTCAGATGAGATGCATCAAGGCGTTTGGTCAGCAAAGAGACAAAAAGAAATGGTGAATGAGAATTTGGGAATACTTTGGGAAATATTTAGTGCCTTGCCATAAAATCAAGGAGAAATGAAGGGATCTTGGTGGGGTGCTTACTTTAAGACTGCCCTCATATGGTCTCTCCTGTGCTCCCTGTCTGAGTAGGACAGGCTGCCTCCCATCAGTGGAGGATTTCAAGGAGAGTTTGGACAGACTTTTGTCCAGAATAGTATGAGGCTCTCTTGGTTGGCTTGCTGTCTAAATGGGAGTTCCCCCCCCCCACACACACACACGTTAATCCTTTAAATAGTCTTTTTGCACCACTTTGAATCCTTGGGCTACACTCCTTTCTTTCCCAGATCTTTCTCTTGCCACAAATGATCCAGGCCTCTGCAGTGGACATAATCATGGATAGTTTACTTACAGTTTACTCAGTCAACCCATTTCCAAGCATGTGGTTGGGTTTGCCCAAGAGATGCTTGGCAGCTCCCTGTTTTGTTTCTCATTCCAGCCCAGTTCTTCACTCTCCTTGCTTTCCAGCCCTGGCTTCCTTCGTGTACAAGACCCCTCCTCCCCCCAAGTAGGTACTTAAAGCAACTTTGCTCAGCCTTCTTACGGGTGGATGGGGAATCACTCCTCAGGTGTTTCTATCTCCAAGAGGAAGGGACGCTTGGTGGCCCAGAATGGCTGTTCCTTTCAGGCTCAGCTGACCTCTTTGCCTGTTCCAGGGAGCTGCTCCTGTTCAGGAGAGAGAAGGAGGCTGAGCTGAGCAGCTCCTCTGGGGCTCCTGCGGCTGTGGGGACCTGTTCCGCCTGTTGCCCTTTTCCCCTCCTTTGGGATTCCCTCCCTCCATAATTCTGTGTTTTAGCTTTGAAGTACCAAGGTACTTCAGAGATGCAGAGAAAACATTTGACCAATAAATTGGCTTGAATTATGGAATGTTTTGCATGAATATGGATTTGAAAGGTGATTGCTGAATGTGGTAAGAATGGTATATGATGGGAATAAAATATACATGAGAACAAATGGAATGCTTAGCAAACAGTCTAGGCAGTGGGCAAGCAGAGGTGATAATTCCCCTTTTTCTGTTTCATATATTAGTATAAAGAATATTTTGGTGATGTTACTTTTGAATGTAGATAATGTCATGTTGGTAGTTGAAAATCCAAACATTTTGCAGCATATGTTAGGACGCCTACTATTTTCTGCTTCTTTTCTGTGATCATATAAACATGGCTTATCCCAAAAGATGATGGGTATGTATATATGTAGTTATTTGACACTGTTCCATATTTTGAAGTGTTTTCTTTCCATTTTGAACTTGCTAAGCAGTATTTACAAAATAACAAAATAACAGAGTTGGGAGGGTTCTTGGAGGTCTTCTAGTCCAACTCCCTGCTCAAGCAGGAAGCCCTATACCATTTCAGACAAATAGTTGTCCAATCTCTTCTTAAAAACCTCCAACGATGGAGCACCCACAACTTCTGGAGGGAAGCCGCTCCACTGATTGGTTGTTCTAATCAGTTGTCAGCAAGTTTCTCCTTAGTTCTAGGTTGCTTCTCTCCTTGACTAGTTTCCATCTGTTGCTTCTTCTCTGTGGCAGCCCCTGAGATATTGGAAGACTGAGCAGTGCATTCAGGTCCTGTTGGGACTCGGCGCCAGGATCCAGCAGGCCGGGTTTCTGTGCAGGACTCTCCACCCGAGGCCAGTTCTGGCCTTGCCTGCCAGGAGCAGGAGGGCTGGGCTTCCTTCCTGGACCCACCTTGACCTTAGCCTTGGCCTCAGCCCGGCTGTCTACGGACATTCCCCCAGGGAATCCAGGAAAGGCATGGGGGGCTTTCCTGGACTGCAGGCCTGAAACAAGGCTGGGGAAGTGAAGAAACGTCAGTGAGTGAGCTTCCTCAATTTTTTTTGACTGGTTGTTTCGATGTGGGTGCATGCACACACACACACACACACACACACTAGTGTATGCCAAATTACCACCAGTAGCCAGGAGGAAATGCCTCAGGGTTCCTCTCCTGTCTTTTGACTGCCTCATACAGAATTGGGCAGGGGGAGAGAAAACAGAGGCAAGAGGGGAAGCAGGATTCCAGGCACTTCCTGTTCTCTCCTCTCTGTTTCTTCCTCCTCTGGGCCATCCCTGCTAGGCCGAGAGCCCCAGGTCCAGAAGTCTTGCTTCTCTAAGGCTTCCCTTGGATTGCGTTGATTGAGAGTTGGTCTCTGCGCTGGGCTGGGCAAACGTGTTGCTGGTGGTTCCCCTGGGCAGCCAGGCCACCCCCTCCACTGCAGGAGGAACAGGCTGAGCAGAGGGAGCAAGGCGAGTCTGCCATGGGGCAGCCGCAGGGTCCCAGCCCCAAGGAAGGGGCTAGTGGGTCAGGGAGGAGGAGGAGGCGGCAGCGGCCCTAGCTTGCTCCTTCCCAGGCTTGTCCTCATCAGCTCCTGCCGCCCATGAAGCAGCAAAAGAGGAAGCTGGAGCTGTTGACTTGCCCCAGTTGACTTTCCATCTGCCACCCAGATGGAAAGCCGGCTGCCCAATTTCGGGGCTGGAAAAACTGGCAGTGGGTGGGGGTCCCTCTGCCGGCCACAGCCACACAGTTCATGGGCTGCTCTCCCTGTTGGGCTTGGGCTGAAAGAAACAGAGGAGTTGGGGAAGGACACCCATTCAGCTCTCGGCCCTCCTTTCTGCCAGACAATGCCCTGGGAATAACAGACATGATAGCTTGGGGATGGGGGGATAACAGTGGAGTGGGCCTCCTCCTCTTTACCACAGGATAAGAATGAAGCAGGCATCTCACCTGTTAAGGTAGGCATGATTACAGTAAGTCGCTGGGTAAATACTGCCCGCCCTTCTCAAAATGGCAGCACTGCCAGCATCTTCCGGGTAGAGCAGCTGACAGATGGACTGCAGATCATCAGAGTTCCTGAAGCAGACAATGAAACAAGGATAGGGTTCCCCAGATGCAGCTGGGGCTGCAAAAAGGAGGAAAAGCTGGAGGGTGCAAGGATTATTAACTTCTCGCAGTGGGCTCCTTGAAGTAAGTCTGGTCCTTCAAAACTGGGCAGAAAAAAACCAAAACCCAAAAAGTTGCCTAAAACCATGAAATGGGTCTCTCTCTCTCTCTCTCTCTCTCACACACACACACACACACACACACACACACACATACACACACATATATTACTAAGAATTCTAAAAATAAAAAGGTGATTCCTGGGTAAGTTCATATTCAGCAACCACAAATTGTAAGACCACCAGGAAATTCTTTAAAAACTATAAAAAGTTTTAATAAAATTTAAAACACCAAGCTTTCGCCGGCACACTGCCAGCATCATCAGGGTAACATGCAGTCGATGGGATGGCTATTTATGGGAGTGGTGCCTTTTGCACCCGGCTCCTGGACCTCGTGATCGGGCCCAGTCGATCCACCTGCGTTTGAGTTCTAAACATCATATTGCAAGCTGTCACGTTTCTGCTTTCCTCTCCCTCACCCTTGTTCTTACCCTTTTTTGATCGTGTACTGGGGGGGGTTTGATTTCATACCCAGAGCACCTCCTTGTTGTTTATTCTCCCCATTTCTCTTTTTAACAACCTGTGTTACGGCTTTTCTAATTTTACGCGGGAGAAAACCCGAATAACCAAAGACACACACACACACACACACACACAAGGCATTTGGGGTGATGTAAGCCTCCTTTAATTTCTACCTACTGGGAGATCTGGGCCTCCACAGTATAGTACGCGCTGCACCGAAGAAGGTTCCCTTCCACACTAATTGGGGTGGGTTGGTTGAGGTTGCAGCTGGGGAGGGAAGTCTTAAAGGACCATCTCTGTCTACCCCCTCCTCCTCTTTGCCACTTGTATCACCATGAAGATGATACGGCCAGATTTATCAGTGTGACAACATAGATCCTTCTGCTTTGAAAGAAGTGGTTGGCTATGGTTTTTTGGCCCTTCCGCTTTGTCTGGCGGATGATTCCTCCGCTCTCAGCTGCTGGCTGGGTTGTGGCCTTTGTGGTCAGGCAACAGTCTTAATCCCAGTATGTTTTTGCGGAAGGCTGTGCACCTGTTTGGGTCCAGGGGTGCAGCTGGGCGGAGCCTATTTGGGTGAGAGGACTACTCCCTTGGCCACGCCTGGCCATGGAGGGAGAAGAGGAGGAGGAGACTGAGGCTTGGCCTCTAGGGTGGCTGAAATGGGGTGAGCCCCAACTGAGGCTCTTTGGAGTGTTTGGCTAGCCTTTTCTCAAGCAGGCATGAACATCACAGGAGATGGGAAAGGGCAGCCATGCCCCAACAGCCATAGCCAGCAGAGACCTTCTGGTTGGGATAGCTGGGTGGCTTGCAGAGTTTGGATAAATTTGGCTGTTCTGGCTCTGAAGGGAGCCAGGAGGGCTGCATGATGGGAAAGGAGGGCTCCTTCTGAAAGGGCCAGAGGATCTGCTGGGTGCTCTGGTGCACTTAAGTCCTTCTGTGGGGACAGAGGTTTCCC